CTTAAGAAAAAAAAGATTCTTCAAGGCTATAATTTTACTCAATGAATATTGCATAACATTACATAACAGAAACATATTCAACAAATAAAAAAGCAGCAATATATAGAACAGGCCCCAACTAAAATAACCAAAAATTTTTTTTCTTAAACGAATGCACAATGGGAAAAACCCCACAGTGAATGTTATTGTTGTGCAGTAAATGTAACTATAAAACATGTCTACAGAGAAGAGCCTTATATAAATATGAATGTATTTTAAAATTATTTTAATAACAATAAATTGATGGAATGAGATAATTAAATCCCCTACAACTCAGTGAAGTCATTGGAGCAAAGAGCTAAAGAACACTTCAGGACATTGTCTCCTGTAGTCGCTATAAATTTATCAGTGTGCACGCTTACTTTCGGATTTTAGTAAATAATAAATATGAGGGTGAGGGCTGGTACATTAATAATTCCAAAACTTCCACAACTCTAAGTCTGCTTGATATGTGTGTGTGTGTGTGTGTATGTGCGTGTGTGTGTGTGTGTGTGTGTGTGTTCATACATGACTATACACAGCCCTAAATGTATGTATTATGTAAATACAATCTTTTATCTCAGATGTGATTAATTATTTGACAAATCTGGTTTTTATTAGCGCTGCCAAACAATTCATCCAAAATAAAAGTTCCTATTTAGCAGCAGATGTGTGTGCAGTGTACAGTAATATATGCATGAGCACACTGTGTAAAATCCTGTGGTAACGCATTATAATCAGCACACGCTGTGAATCCTCTATTCAGCATCAGCAATGGTTAGTTGATTATCTGGTAATCATTAACTCTACATTAATAGATGTCGAATAACAGGAGAGTCAAAGTATAACACAGAACTGAATAAAACAACAATAACAGCACTATAATAATTAAACAATATGTAATGATACAGCATTTCACTGTTATTTAGCGATGTTTAAACTGTACAGTAATTATACTTTAGTTAAGAACACAAAGATTTGTTTCTTATTTGATGCAGTTTCATTTGTGAATCTTCAAATGAACAGAAATAAATAAAGTCATGTGCGCTTTTCCTGTTTAGAATAGAACTGAGCCTTTAACTGTCATTAATTAAAGATTTATAATGAAGAAATACACTCAAAAATATTTCTGTTTGTTCATTCAAACTAAATACTTATAAAAAGCTGAAACAACACAATTCTTGAGATTTCATTGGGACAACTTAATTTTTTATGTTCAATCCACATAAATGTGTTAAAAGTGTAAACTGTTGACTTACTCAGTTTGTGTTGGGACAACATGTGTGAATGGTGTGGGACTCTGCATTTCTACAGTGTAGTCCTCACTTTAGATTAGCTCACAAAACTGCATGAAGTTGAGTGAAGAAAGCATTTATTAATAAATAAATTAACTATTAATATATGCCTGAATATTAATAATATATAAATGTAGATTTGAATAGTTTATTAATCATTTATTTACGTATTCTGAATAATCTTTAAAAATCAGCAACATCTCTCGAATTACTGTTGTAAATGATGCAATACTTCATTTAGTCATGAAAAATTAATCATTAACAAAGTATTAAAGAACAATGATCAAGTACATTATAGATATGCTTATAATCAAGAACAGAGCATCTGCATCTGCAGTTATACACTGCTGACTAACCTCTATTAGTGTAGAGTTATGCTGAACAGGTAATGAGTTCACTATATGCTGATGATTAATGATGTGCAGTTATTATCAAGTGTTACCTTTATTGTTTATATATATCTACACTAGCGGTCACAGGTTTGGGGTCAGTGTGATTTTGAAATGTTTTTAAATAAGCTTCTTCTGCTCGTTTATTTCATCTAAAATACAGTACAAAGTGTAAAAGAGAACCGTTATTACAGTATAAAACAACTGTTCCACAGCAGACTATCAGGTATATTAATCAGTGATTCCAGTGATTTAATGAGGATTTTTCAGCTTCATTACTCCAGTCTTCAGTCACATGATCCTTCACAAATCACTCTAATATTCATCATTATTATTCATTATTATTATTGTTGTTATTGTTATTATTAATATTATTATTAATGGCATTATTGTTTTATTAATAGCAATAATGACTGGACTAATAATTTAATTTAAAACTACACAGTAAGTAATCAGTATTAAATAAATAAATGTTCAACAATTTAATAATTTGTTTTACATGTAATAAATGCAGTATTGATGAACAGAATCACTTTATTTCAATTATTATAATTAAATAACAAAAACCACCCCAAACCCTGAGCGGAAGTGTTTATGTGTAAATACACTTCTTAAGTATATCTGAGTAAAGTGTGTGTGTGTGTGTGTGTGTGTGTGTGTGTTTAGACACAGTATATGGTGTGAGTGTGTGTGACTGATCACTGATCAGCTGGAGTGTGAGATGTGTGTGTGCAGCGCAGTAATGCTCATCAGGTCTGCTGCTGAACTCTTCAGTGATGGATTATTGATCTGCTGTTCAGTGATCGTGTGGTGGATTATTGATCTGCTGTTCAGTGATCGTGTGATGGATTATTGATCTGCTGTTCAGTGATTGTGTGATGGATTATTGATCTGCTGTTCAGTGATCGTGTGATGGATTATTGATCTGCTGTTCAGTGATCGTGTGATGGATTATTGATCTGCTGTTCAGTGATCGTGTGATGGATTATTGATCTGCTGTTCAGTGATCGTGTGATGGATTATTGATCCGCAGTGATCTTCAGTGTTGTGTGGTTAATGAAGCAGTGGTTCCTTACCTTGTATTTGCCCTTGATGATGGCCTCGAACAGCCTCTCCTTGGTGCCGTAGAAGGGCAGGCATCCGCTGAGCAGGATGAAGAGAATGACCCCGCAGCCCCACACGTCCACCGGCTTCCCGTACGGCTCCCGCTTCACCACCTCTGGAGCCATGAAGTGCGGCGTCCCCACACGCCCTGCAGGACACACACCAGCCAATCAGAGCACAGGCCACACGCTGCACTTCTCTACACATGCCGAGAGGCAGGAAGTAGAACGCACGCACCTCCAGCCACCAGACCCGACTCGCCCAGCTGAATCGCCACGCCGAAACCACCCAGCTTCACAGGAGCGGAGTTCTCCTTGGAGGCCAGCAGGACACAGTGAGGCTGCGGAGACACACACACACACACACACACACACACACACACACAGGTGAAATGACTGAACACAGCCTACATAAAGCCACACGCTCTCTCTGAACACACACACACACACACACACACACACACGGCACTGCACAAACACTGACTCAGAGATTGCGTCTGGTTTCAGGTGCTGAAGAGTTTCCCAGACAAGCTGAAATATAGAGCTGATTTCAGAAAGGATGAGTCAGAATGAAGAGAGAGACTCAACAATACACACACACTAATCTGACAATGGAGAATAACATTATTCATCCCTCTGACGGCGGATTATTATTAATATTCTGCATACTCTACTGGCAGATTAGAAACTCCAGATCACATTAATATTAAGCTGGTCAAATTTCTCCAGAACAAACCACAGATATACCGAGACTTTACCCTGATGAACACTAGAGTCTGGAGGAGATCTGGTATCATGTGCCGTCATCATGGAGAATCATGAACACTGTGATGATTAGAGATGTGCTGAAATAATTCTCTATATTAATAATCATATTCTGCTTGTTTTACTGAGAAACTCTTCATTATTTCTGGACATGAGATCTTACATCTGAGCTAGTCTAGAAATCTGCTCTTGATTTAGGAGATTTTTGGACTAGAAGCAGGACACACACTCTCAGTGAGAGCAGCAGTTGAGCAGAGATTCTGTCTGTCTTTCTTTATTTTTGAGTCGTTTTATCATTTTAATCATCTTTTGTTTTGTTTTAAAGACAGAAATGAAAGCAAATGCAGTTTAACAGAGAGATCAACACACTTTAAACAACAGTTTGTGTAACTTCATGAGTCAAAATTATTTGCTCTATCAGACAATCATTTACTGCATTTACTAATACAGTAATACAATAGTTATAAATAAATTAGACATTTCTCAGCATGATATTTTAAATATTGTGTGAAAACAAACACGCTCTGCTTGTACATTATATTTCATTATTAAAGTTTCTTTAAAACAAGATAAAAATGAACAAAACTATATTGAAGCTGAGCTGTGCACACACGAGCACTCTTCAACACAGGGTATTTCCAGCAAGATAATTACACTGATATGGTAAATTCAGTTAAACATGACCTTTATAATGAACAGTTTCCAACAAGGGAACATGAACACAAATGATTTCACCTTTCTCAAATCTGTGTGCATTTAAGCCTGGATGATGTTCTCCTGCTAACATTAAAGCACTTGGGGGATGAATTGAGACTGTGTTTTGAGGAAGAACGCTGGCCTCTGCAGTATGCTAACTAATGCAGTTTAAAGTATTCCAGAATCCATTTCTCAAAGACCAGACTATCTGAACTTTCCCCGATACTGACGGCAGATGTGGCAGATGTGATGCACCAGGGTGTAGTTTTAGTCATGTGTTCTTTATGTGCCTTACACTCAAAACATGCTTTATTTGCTGGTTCAAACTACTGATCTAAAATGAGCTGAAACAACACATATCCTGAGATTTGATTGGGACAGCTTACATTTATTTACGCTCAATTGACATTGATTTGTGTAAAGTGTTGAGTTGACTTGATCAGCTTGTGTTGGGGCAGTATGAATGAATGGTGTGTGATGCTGCACTTCTACAGTGTTTGTGACAGAATTGCTGGATTACCTATTTTACAGTTATGTCTGAGGTGTTGCAGGTAAATATCGACCCATACCCTGATGATGTTTCAAACATTTGGTCCCAGTTTATTTGTGAACACTGTGATGTTTTGGCCTTTACCTCATTATTAGCTGGGTATTGTGTTCTACATCACTGGAAAATAAATAAGCCTGCAACTACATCCTGATAGCTTGTGAACGTCACGCAGTTTCTAAAGCTGGACAAGGTTAGATGCTCTGGGAAACTCATTTCTTTATAAAGTGGCAATGCTTTACCATTTACTTTAACTCTCTTAAGGTCTTTCCTTTATTTTACCCAGGTAAAAAAAAAGTGCACTAAAATGCAATTTATTTCAGTATACTTAGTACATTTTTCAGTGCTGTACTAAAAGTGCTCTATTTTCACACACTAATTTTGTACTTAACATACTAAAAGATAGTATTAAGTATATGATAAACTTAACACCATCTAAGTGCACTCAACTGTGCTATTTTGAGACACTCTGAAATTGAATTAAAATGTGCTTTTAACATACTATATTGGTATTTTTAATATATATTTAGTTACAACTAGAAATACAATTGAACCCTACTTTTAAACATTTAAATATATCTATGACTGATTTAAAGTATAATAGTAATATATTAAAAGAATATACAAATTGTAAATAAAAGTGTGTTGAATACTGTATTTAAAGTGCTTGATTTTCCCAAACTAATTTTGCATTTAATGTACTAAAAATTAGTGTTAAGTACATTTTAAGATAAACTTAAGTACATCTAAGTGCACTCAACTGTGCTATTATGAGACAAAATGAAGCTGATCTAAAATGTGCTTTTAACATACTAAACATTTATTTAAACAATATATTTTGAAGGGATTCTGTGTGTACAAAGAAAACAGCATCTGAGCTTCATCAAAACACTTTAATCTTTCTGTGCAATAAACCACAAGTGCAAAAATACCTTATGGAGGAACAAAAACTGAGAACACACAAATATAAATAAGATGCAACATTACAGCACATATGTGAAATGTAAAGACATTTTGGGAAAATGTTCTTCTACTACAATACATCACTGATAGATTTTAAGTAAAGTCAATTTAATGTTAACTTAAAATTACCACACTCAAAATCTATTTAAGTGTTCTTGATAATATTGCAATCATATTAAGTGTACTTGAGTACAACTTTAGGGAAAATGTTCTTCTACTACAATACATTACTAATAGATTTTTTAATATATTAACTTATTTTAAACTTAGGATTAGTTTGTTAACAGTGTACTAAATATCAACTAATGTGTAAAGCATTTAAAGCACACTTTTGAAAAACTCTTCTGGATGTTTTCTCTGTAGTGTACTTTATTGTAGTACACTAAACATTTATTTAGGTATTACTGGTATTGAGTATACTTTTGTCAAGTGTACTAAAGTCCTACTGAAGTATAAACATATGTTTAATCAGTATATTTATAGTGTAAAACCATCAAACTTTTATTGAACAAAAAAATAACAATGAGCTAAAAATGTATTTGCGGGTATTTAAGTGTATTTTAGTTGCATTTAATTATATTTTTTCACCTGGGAATAGATGCACTCTCCTTCCTTTTTTATTTATTCATGTTAAAGTAATTTATTTTGTTTGTTTTTCACTATTATCATCTTATACTGTTTAATTGTAAATATTTACATTGACAGTCTATCTGTACACTCGACTGATTATTAATGTCTGCATTCAGCTGGTTATAATTTTCCATAAACTTTTATTATTCTTATTATTTCCATTTATTTACCCTTATTATTATTATTATTATTATTATTATCATCATTTCTTCTTTTTTGATACTAACAACAAAGATGATGAAGATGTGTAACTATCTGTACTGAAATAGTGTTTGCTTTTCCCAATAAATAATGTGATTTAATACCTACAACACAAGATTTAAGAGTCTGCAGACACCCTGAATATATCAAATATAGAGGAAATAGAGAAATTGAAGAATGAAAAAGAGAAGTATTAATAATAATTTAACAGAAACACATGACCAGAGTTACACTGCATATATTCTAGATCTATTCCAGCAAGTCTCAGATTTGATTAGTGAACATCAGCTGGAGAACTCTGCTTACTGGAGAGTAAAGACAGCTCCATTAACTAAACCTTTAACCAGTTTAATTAAATGTAATGTTTACACACAAGCACACACACATGCGTGCACACACACACACACACACACACACACACACACACACACACACACATCAGTGTACTCTAAATAACTGTAGTTTGCAGATTTGTCTGTGTTTAGTTTGTGACAGAAAGCTTGCTGACGACGATCAGAGAGAGAGAGAGAGAGAGAGAGAGAGGAGTGTGTGAGAGTAAGAGAAACACACACACACACACACACACAGAGCACGTCTGATGGTGTTGGAGGGAAGCAGTAAGTCTCTCTGCTCTCTGCTGGAGGAATGAAAGCGGATCTGACTCAGAAACTCACAGCTCTGCATTTCCAATAGGATGAAGATCCAGCGGCAGAGTTCAGTCAGACTGCAGGATTAACAAGCCCAGCCGTGAGTACACCTCCTGCATCTGTGTGTGTGTGTGTGATCAGAACTGTGCTTTCTCCAGATTCATAAGAGCAGTTTTAATGCATGAATCCAGCACACGACAGCCTCCCGCAGCTCCTCTGATGTATGATCTGTGCCATTTACTTAAAGATGAACTAAATGAATGCAGTGTGATGCAGATGCAGATGCAGATGTGTGGTTGAGTGTGGGGGTGTTCAGCTTCTACTAATTTATCAGAGGTGTTATTGAGAGCGCTGTGCTAATGCCAAATCTAGAAGCAGAAGTGAGAGAAGCGGCAGATAAGAGCAGAGAAGCGCTGATTACAGACACCGAGCACAGAGCAAACACCACACATACAGCATATTATACTGGAATATAGTGAGCGAAGAGCTGAATTAACCCTGTAAAACATGCGCAGCGGAGCGACTGAGAGAAGACTGAGCTCTGCTGCACACATCTGATCTTGCTGAATTTAGACAAATGACTGGAGTGTAGTCATGTTCAGCTCATATGTCTGATTCAGCCCAAATAAAGAGTTTACAGCACTTCACCTAAACACAGAGCTCATACACACATTACTGCTGAAACTCCAAGACTTTTCTGTGATTTTCCCAAGACTAAGTAAATCTTCATGAGCTGTTTCATGTCTACAAATGCGTGATAACAGAAAAACAGCACATGTTTAAATGTATTAGAGCATATCCTAAAACACACAGCAATCTGATCAGTCTCAGTGTATATTTATATCTCTGTCAAGCTGATTTAATAACGCTGACACCAGACTAATAATGTAAG